CATTGCAGTCTTCAACATCCTCACAAGGGGAAGCAGAGGGGCAGATACTGATCTCTTCACTCTGGTGACCAGTTTCCGGGCACAAGGAAATGTCATGAAGCTGAGTCAAGGGAGATTTAGGTTGGATATCAAGAAAAGGTTCTTTACCTAGGGTGGTCAGGCACTGAAACAAGTTCAGCAGGGGAGTGGTCACAGCACCAACCCTGACAGAGTTCAAGAAGTGTATGGAAAATGCTCTCAGGCACATGATGTGATTTTTGAAGTGTCCTGCACAAGGCTAGGAGTTGGACTCAATGATTCTGATGCGTCCCTTCCAACACAGTATATTCTATGATTCTATGACTCTATGATATTCTATGATATCCTGGTACTGAGACTCTGGACAGCACCATAGAAGAGCCAGAAGTGACTCTCATTTTTCTGTCTCACTCCTCTAATTTATACTACCATGAACCTCCATGAAGTTCTTTTTGAAGGAATGTCTGAAACTCTTCTCAGAGCCTGAAGAGAAAGAAGTCTTTTTGCTGTGGTCCTCACAAAGAAATTATGCTGTTTCACAGAACCATACCTCTATCTCTTGTATATATTTCATTATTGAAGTTGCACAACAAACACTATTGCATAAATGGTAAACATAGGTAACAGTGCTTGTAAACTGTCCTATTTCTGGTGCTCAAATGTCCTTGCTCAAAACTAAATTCCATTTTTACATTTGGATTAATCTTATCAGCAGCCAATTAACTAATTACTTCGAAAGATGAATTTAGGTTTTACGCTTATTCTACCTCAGTTCAACCACATTACCATTAATACATCATGGACTACTTTTCTTGTGTGTATTCCAGGGGAATAACTGAGAGAGCCATGGTTCTATCAAAAAGTACTTTCAGGTGTCCCACATAGGTTTAGAGTGGATAGGACCTCAGCTATGCCAGTATGGGGCTGCCTCTAGGAACCTAAGTGCAAAAGGAGATCTGGCCAGCAACCTGCTATGAGTCACTCTGACTTCCTCTGTCACAGGATTTGCACTTACAAGTGCGTCAAATCCCTATCTGGAATAGTTAGACAGATCTGCACTGCAGCAGGATTGAGCCCGTATATCACAATGCATAAATACACAAGCAGCATTGCTAGAAAGGGTCTGCTTTCAAAAGGTGGCAGAAAGGGGTGCCAGGTGACAGCTGAGATGGCACATAATGGTCTTTGTGCAGGAAAAAATATGAATGTTTTGAGAAGTAATAGCTCAGTAAGGTAAAATAACTGGGGGAAGAATGCTTTAACACAACATAAAACAATAGTACAGATATGGAATCAAGAACCATGGTGTCACTTCCAGACTGTGGCCTCTGTGCATGTGAAGTAATCATCTGGAAAAGAAGCTATCTGTGGGAGAGGATTATGAACAGGTCGTGATCTCACAGCATGACAAAATGGCCAAGAGAGCTAAAGCAATCCTTGTTAGCAATGAGCAGCACTTGCAGAAGGAGGGGTTAAAGAAGTTGCTACTTTTTGTCACATCCTAAGGTATCATCTCTAGGTATTGTAACCATTTCCAGTCTCAACACTTTAGCAAGGATGTTAATAAATACAAATGCTTCAGAGATAGTGCCACCTGAGGAAGATCTCCCTCATGCTATCTCTTAAAGATCAACCTCACTACCTCAAAGAAAGGGCACAGAGAAGAGCAAAACGCTGCCTAAGACTGCGTGTGTGGAGAGGGAAATCTACAGGCATTAGAGATTCTTCAGCAGGCTACAAATCTCTTGGACTCAAAAATAAGACAAGGAACAGAGTGCTAAACTGCCACATTTGGAACAACTTATCCAGTAAATTTGCCATCCCTGCTAGCCTTGGAATCAATACTGCTGTCATACAGAATAGCTCATTCAGAAATGAAATGCTGAATGAAATCCTATGCCCTGTATTATCTAAAACAGAGTACATGATCATAAGAGTCCACTTGGGTCTTAAAAATCCATGAGTGTAGTTCAGAGGACATGTAGTTCTAGAGGCTAAGTATGAGGCCTTTACATTTTCCAGGATGAGCTTTCCCTGAAGGTTTTTCCTGAAGACTGAATTATTTATCCTATAACTGAAAAGTAAGCTGCAAAGGTATGAAGTAGCAAGCCCAAGCCCCCAAAAGATAAAATCTCATCTTGTTTTCCTATTTTCCTTAATTCTAGGTGAAAACATGTACAGACAACAGACAAACTTTATGCTTTGAAGAAGACTGAAAGGTCCTGTAGGAACGTGGAGAGGAGATCAGCACCCTCACAAGAAAATCTTGTGAAAGGCAAGTACTGGCTGCATCTGAGTATACAACAGAGCTCTAAAGAAATTGGCTTTTCTGCTTTTGATGACCTGTGTAGCTCTGTGACAGGTGTGGTGTTGAACCACATTTCCAAAGGATGGAATATATAGCAGCCTTCTTTACTACCTAACTGGATTTCATCATTTTGACTGAATATCAGTCAAAGATTTTACAACATGAGGCTCCAAAACCATGTCTTGCCTAGTCATTCTTGTTTCCTCAGCCAGTTTTATCCATTTCTGCTCCTATCTGCATAGCAGCATACAGAACTCCAGTAATCCCCACAAAACTCATACTGTAACACTCAGTATCATACGTTTTCCAAGAGTAACATTTAAGATGGCACTTTAATTCACTGGTAACTGAGCTGAGATTTCCATGACATATTTCATTTGGTAAAGAGGAACTTCAGTAGAGTGAGGCTAGGACTATTTTTATGTGATTTACAGCAGAATTTCCATCTTTTCCACATCTTCAACAAATACCAGGACTTGATGAAGACCTTACTTTTCAGGTGGACCAATCCTAAGTTTCATCCTTTGGCTACCAATATGAAGAAGGTATCCAGCTTGGTTGTCTTAATCACATTGTCAGTTTTGATGTGCAGGAAATGTAGTGTAACTATATGTGTGAGCCCTGAATAAGGTTAAGAGCAGGTGTTTGCTGCATGTTGGTTTTGGGAAACAGTGGCTGGATTTTGTTATGCTCTAAGTCTGGGGAACCACTCACATCTCCCCCTTCCCTGGACACGTATGTTCTGGGGGGCATGGGGGGGTTGGCATTCTTCTCTGACCTGCTCTGCATTTAATCAACACTTTTATCTCACTTTGCAGTAACTCCTGACATGTGCCACTGACATCATCAGCGAAGTTCTCTCAGTGTTTTCCAGTTTGTCAGTAAAATACTGTTTAGCAGGTGAATTCATGGCAAAGAGGATATGACCAGCCTGTCTCAAATCCTCGACTTGGAGTTTGAAAAATAAATTGCTAGGAAATTGTCATTTAAATTCCCGTGCTTTGTTTTTGAATTGTACAGTCTTAGAAAGAAATTGAGTTTAGTTTAAACTAAATTGCTGTTACTTTTCAGCATACTTGAGTAAAGTCCCAGAGATACCAGAAAAATAATTAACAGAAGCAGCTATTGCTAAGTTGAAGTGAAGGTTTGAGTTCTGACCTCCACTTTGTGCCAACAAACTATCCTGTGCTTTTTCACTGTAGTCACATACTACCCTGAAAAACTCAGGAATTCTTTGTCGTGTTGCAGTGTAATTTTTTTAGGACACCTAGTACGTCTTTAATCCAAAGAAAGATGGTGCCGTTTCCCAAGCCGGGTGGCACTTGGAAGCGCATTATCACATACAGAATGTTCATTAAAAGCGGATTAGGAGAAGATCTCATCAAACATACCAATTCCGCTTGAAATAAACGGCTTCTAAGCACAGGAATTGTTAGAGGAATGGACCATAGGTGCCGACTAGTTTGGTTTGCATATTTTAGAGAGCATTTTGAGCTGATGTGTGTGGGACTAGGCTCTTTATTCCAGCAGTTCTGTTTAGCTGGTTCGAACAGAGTAGAGGTGATAAGATGTGGAAACTTAATGAAAAAAATATCCCAGGCATGAAACACTGTAGAAGATTTCTGCTTAATAATGAACTAATTAAAAAACAAATTAAATGAAATGCAGCTTTCACTGTTAGGTTCTAGATTTCTCTCCCCCAAACATTAGACGAAATTGCATTGTTTACAAAAATTTATTAATACAAACTTTACACACTTTATATAACAGTTATCAAAGTCCTAGTTATAGATATCATGTGTGTAATAATACTTTGTTTAAGTTCTTTTTATATTCATTTGCACACAAAATAAGTTCTCCAAGACTAACATCTACCTACTATGACTGTATCTCAAATCTGCTCAAATTTTGGTAAGGCTGTTGGCGTTTCTGGAAAAAAAAAAAAAAAAGAAATCGTACAAAGGATAATAATCTAGGTGATCACTTCATAATGCTTGCGACTAGCCACTGAACTCTAACTGATAAGGTCATAAACAAAACGTCAAGAGAGCCCTATGTCATTATACCACAGCCGACACAAACACAGCGCACTCTGCCCATGGCCAAAGAACAGAAGGACGACTAAAACGCAAGCCGATGTGTTGCAGCATCGTAGGGCCACTAAATGCCATCCGTGAACTCGTGGCGATTTACAAGGTGAAGAGAAGGCACGAAAGCTGCACACAGCGCCCCG